GAACCGATGGCGTAGTTTTCGACTTTCACAAGTGCTCTGTAAAAGCCTAAACTGAATAAATAAATTTTAATTTGATTTGATTTTTGAACCTGAGATTTTTCGTAATCCTGGCGACTGCTCTAACTAATGAGCTACCCAAGACCTAACAGGGCTGACGAATCTTTCAAGCACTTGTTACTTTCGCTGCTAAAGAGCGTATTCTCATCAATATTCAGGCATCCACCCAAACAGATGAAAGAATACGAGCAGCCCGGATTGCGAAAGGTCATAAGTTTCGAATACCATTTCAGGTTACCAGCGACCAAGTGGACTTTTTAGGATTTTTCATTAAGAAAATAATAAAACTATCTTTAATGAAAAAAAACTTAAAAAAACCACCAGCCCCAGCAGGGGGGATCTAAGGGCTTAACGGGCTTAAGCCCAGGGCACCGTGGATACAAAGGGTGCGTAACAAAATTACAATTACTTCAGTAACTAAAAGGTCCCTGATTAGTATGAGACCAAAGCCCCCATAAATTCACGATCCACCATTGAGCCCAATATACCCGGGGATGGTACTCGATCACACGAACTTTCGCAATCCGAGAGACTGTTCTAACTCATTTTTCATTATATATATTTAACAATATAGCGTTCTGAGTGCAAAATTATAAAGACACATTTATTATTCTGCAGTAATAGGAAATTACACACCTTTAGAGCCACCATTGCCGAGAACTGAAATAAGAGATTTTTTTAAAGTTTAATTTCCATAAATCAATACGAGTATTAAACTCCTTATCCTTATCTAATCTATTATTTTTGTCTATTGTCATTTTTAATAAAAACATGCCCAAAATAGCTATAGTTAATCTAAATGCAGAAATATGGGCTCTATGTTTTCTTGACTAAAGGCTTATTAATTGGCTTTATTTAAGTGAAATATATATTTGGTTATGTTAGCAGCATACCATCAAGGCCTAGTCCCAGACCTGAAACAAAATAAAAATAAATTTATTCTAATAATTTGATTATATTATTTAAAAATATATATTCATATTTTGAGTGCGACTAGCTCGGTGGCGTAGTAGATAAGCGCCGCGGCCCGCGATTGTGCAGGCCTGCAGCGCCCACAAAGGGGCGTTATCGCTAACTTTGGAAAGACTGGCTCAGAAAAAAGGTATTAAACTTGAGGGCTGGCTATGTCACGACTACATGGAAAATGTATAACGTAATTTACTGATTGCGCAACAAATAAAAAATACATTTCTAATATTGAACGAATGAATGCATTCATGCATGCATGATTGAATGAATAAATGAATGAATGGATTCTCTAATAATCTACCTGACGGACCGACAAACAAAAATTTTTCATCGTCCCTTTTTGTGCTAATATTAGCAGAATGTTACCACAACTGCATACAGCTTTATATAGTACATTATAGATATGCTTACCAAGACTGATCAGACTTTTCTTTGGTCCAGTGGTGGCTGCTGTGAACGAAATTAATTTCTGATGATTATAAATAGTAATATAATAAATGGCATAGGTAACAATGAGGAAGTATTAAAAGAAACCCTGGTTGGCTGTATCATTGATACAGCCATATTTTATGCGTGGATACGTCTATGTATGAATGGATATATGAGTAATTGATAAAAAAACAACCCGGAATTATGCAACGTTGTGGCATAATTGCATTTATAAATGAAAAATTAAAAAAATAAAAATAAACAAATTGAAGACACTAAACACTAAATAAATAAATAATCGTTGCGTTCATTTGTTGAATGAAAAAAGTATTCACTAGCGCCAACAGATGGCGTTAGTGCATATACTCCTGCTGACAGAATGCCCCTCCCCCTGCAGAGCAAGCATAGTTCACTTATACGCCAATAGATGGCGTTAGTGCATATACTCCTGCTCACAGAATGACCCCCTGTAGAACGAAAACATAGACGTATCCACGTCAAAAAAAAAACGAAAGCACTAAAAAAGCACCTCCACTAGATGGCGACTCTAGCAAAAGTTGATTTCTGCAGGAAACGAATGGACCGAAGACCATTCCTTTTAACTAACATATTAAAAAACTGAAATTTTCAAAGTTCGAAACTTAGATATCAATACAAATACGAAAAACTACAAATAGAATATGAGTTGTTTATTGAGTTTTGAAAACTAATTTACTTTTAAACATGAAAAAAAACCGGAAAAGCTGTCATGGTGAAATCAAGAACGTACCGTAGCGAAATCAACCTTGATTTTTTTTATTGCGAAAAATTTTTTTTTAAATGCAGGAAGTATTTAAAAAAAAAAAGTTTAATTTGCTATATGAACACTTCTAGAAGAACCGCCGCTGTGCCCGTTACACGAATCTAAGTGAAGATCTAATATCTGGCTTGAATTCTATTCTACTTGGCCAGTGTTTTTTTTATAATGTAAATATTCCCATTGAATATTATTTTGAAAAAAAAAGTAAACCAACAAGATAAATAAAATGATGTAGCTTCCCGTAGGTGATAGAATTTTTTAAATCGGTCCAGTATTAACGCAGCCTATTCGATGCAAACAAACAATCAAAATATCAGCAAAGACATGTCATTCAATACTCGTAAATACATAAAAAGAAAATTTAGCTCTTTAAATTATTTTATCTATGTTCCACCTACATTATGCGTACATCATCATCATTATCATCATCAGTCCTTTTACGTCCCCACTGCAGGGGCTCAGGCCTTCCTTATGGATGGTTAAGGAGGATGGGCCATGACCCTCCACGCTGGCCCAATGTGGATTGGAGGGTATTTACTACTGCAAATGCAGCCGGAACCAACGGCTTAACGTGCCTTCCGAAGCACGGAGTAGCTCGAGATAATAATTTTTCGGTCACCCATCCCGTGACTGACCCTTGCGAAAGTTGCTTAACGACAACGATCGCGGGCCGCGGCGCTTATCCACTATGCCACCGAGCTACATTATGCGTACAATTCATTAAAATTAAATCAATAATGTTAAGATTATTGCTTACCACCATTTCCGTTGTTTACGTATTCATTGTCGTCATAATAATTATCGGGTTCTGTAACAAAGGAATGACTACAATAAGCGATTTGAAAAATTCATCAGTGAATGAAGAAGTATTTAAAAAAAATAATAGTTTATTTATTTTTTATTTATTTATTTAGTACACCAACGATTGTTACATTAATTTGATTTAGTAAACTAACTTAATTTAAATTTTCTGAATGTACAATCATTTACAGGTGAACATCTCATGTAAAACCTGAAATAAACATTTACTTAGTTTACGGATCACACAATCTCACTCCATGAAAAACAACTAGGAAACAGTTACAAATAAAAAAACAAGGAAAACAATATACTTAATACACTGATACATTGAGAGTTGAACAATTATTTAGACACTAATCGCGAAATCAAACTAGATGTCGCTACGGTACTTTCTTGATTTCTCCATGACAACCCTTCCGGTTTCATTTCATATATAAAAGTAAATTAGTTTACAAAACTTTCGAACTTTGAAAATTTCAGTTTTTTAACATGTTGGTTAAAAGGAACGGAAATTACTATATTTGGTCCATTCGTTTCCTGCAAAAATTAACTTTTGCTAGAGTCGCCATCTAGTGGATGTTTTGGTGCTTTCTTTTTATTTTTAAATACTTTCTCATTATTATAAATGTGCCATTTATAACTTTCCAGTTTATCTAATCTGAACGATAAAATATTTTGCTAAATAATAAAAAAAAATTACTCAATATTATGTGAGTATTATGTTAGTGATGAAAATAATAAAGGGTGAAAATTATTTAAAATGACCATTTTGATATCATGATTTGTCCATACGCAATATCTAACAAAATATTATCTTGTTTCAAGCAATGAGAGTTTACTATAGTAAAATGGTACTTAACCTAAAATAATATATATAGTTTTATGTACATTATTACAAGTATAAAGTAAATACATTTATATTTCAGACCGAAACCGGATTTTGTCCATACAAAATAATTTGTCCTGTTCATGAATAGCGTTACAAAAGTACATTTTAAAAAAAAGCTTTTAATTATAATGAAATATATAGTTATTTTTTGTAAAGATAATATATTTAGTTATAGTTATTGGGTTAAATTATCTTAATTTACTTATTTTGTAAATAAATACTTGTTTCCAAACAAATGTCCATTACTTTGTTCTTTTTTGTTATTCCTTTTTTCTCACGACCTAATTTAGTAATATTTGACGTTTATCAAATGACAACACTCACTCTTTAAGGAGCCAATCAGATACCGGAAGCGATACTGTATCGGCCATTTTGTTATCCTATGTCAAAGTGAGTGAAAGCGTGCTTTTGTGTCGGTGAAAGAAATTACAATTTTAAATCTTCATTTTTGTTGTCTTCTATTTATCTGTACAGGTAAGAGAATACTTAGATATATAATTTATTTATAATCATGGAGTATCTTAATGATTATTTAAAAGCAAGGTTTTTTAACTTACTGATATTCTTGTTTGACTTAAGATATTTGAGGTTATGTTCCAAGCAGAGAGTTTGTTCATTTTTGTTAAGATTTTGTTACATTTTTTGTCACGTCACAAAAATGATATAACAAAAATGAACTAAAGACGCATTCACAAGTCTAATTTTGGTTTTTATTATAGGAGTATATTAATTTAAACCAAACCCGTCCATAATTTTTTTCTTTCAATATTTACACGTCTTAAAATCTCGAATATCGAACCCGCACCCCTGGAATCCGGCCCAATGCTCTAAGCTACCGGGAAATGGTTCGAATCCTGCCCAAGAAGGTCTGAGACCAAACTTGTATTTTTTTAGTACAAAATTTTATTTAAATCGTAACCTCCTTCTTTTGCATTCGGGTATAAATAATCAGTTAAGAGCAGTTACCGTAAATTTTTTGTAAAATAAATGACTGAAAAGAAATAAATAAAACTGGAAATACGGAGAAGACAACTTCTCAATATTTTTCTTTTTAGAATGCCGATGACTGCAGCTGAACGTCAGCGACTATATAGACAACGTTTAAGAGATCAGAATCCTCAAAAATATGAAGAATTAAGATTAAAAAATTTAAATAGAATCAAGAAGAAATATGTGAAAGTTTCTAAACTAACAGAAAATCAAAAATTGATACAAAGGAAGAACTGGAGAAAGCTTAAGAATAATCAAAAGAAAAAACGAGATTCACAAGAGGAAACCAGAAAGAGTTCAAAAGAATATCAGCGTTACTATAAACGGCTGAAGAAAGAAAATGAAAAACAAAAAATAATAATCAATGAGCAAAGAAAAAAGATACAAGCACTTCAAAAGAAAGTCTATCGACAAAAAATTCTCCTTGATTGCCAAATATCGGCAAAAGACTCAGAACAGTCGCATTCTAGTAATCAAGAACGACCACTGACACCAAATTCTCAATCAAACGAAATTATCCAAACCATGACTACTCTTTCAGAGCAGGACAAAAATAAAGTAAAAAAAGTGATACTAGAAAAATATGTTATAACAGAAGCAATCAAGCAAGAATACAGGAAAAATAAAAACATAAAAAAAGTTTTGAGAAATATCTTTACATCTCAGATTGTACAAAAGTATAAAATGGTATCAAATTTTCGACGAGTCATAGGTTTAAAAAGCAGAATCCGCAATCTTTCAAAATATGTTGTTCCTAAACGAAGCAGCAAATTAGTAAAAAAAATTCGACGATTTTACCTGCGCGATGATGTCAGTCGAGCTTCAGCCGGGAAAAAAGAAACTAAGACCTTTAAAAAACAGAAACATCAAAAACGGTATCTCCTCGATACTATGTCAAATTTACACAAAAAGTTTAAGGAAGAAACTGGTATCAAAGCTTCTGTCAACACATTCCGCAGACATAGGCCTTTTTATGTGGTCAAACCACGTCTCTCAGACCGTGAAACATGTGTTTGCAAAATTCACGCAAATATTGAATTTAAATTCCAAGCACTACAAAAGATAAAGGTTTTGGATCCAGGTTTAAAATTAATGGATATATTACAAGAGATAGTGTGCGATATAAAATCTAAGGAATGTATGTATTCAGAATGCAATATTTGTAAAATGGCGACGGTAACGTATAATTTTACTGAGAGGAAAAGAAATGACAACGTTACCTGGTTTGAGTGGACTACGAAAAATGTTGGATATCAAAAGAATAAAGAGACCAAAATGACTAAAAAAGTAGTTATAGAATCAAAAACTGAAAAACTAGAGATCCTATTAAGCAATTTTGAAAAAGAACTTAAAAAGTTTAAAGAACATTATTTTAATATTTGGTATCAATATAATATATACAGAAATCTTAAAAATAGTCTGCAAAATATAGAGGTCATGGTTCATTGTGATTTCTCAGAAAATTACAGTTGCAAATTTCATCGGCAAATACAGGCTGTTCACTTCGGATCACAAAACCAAATTTCGTTACACACAAGTGTGATGTATATTAAAGGTTCGAAACCTTTATCATACTGCACCCTATCTGATTCAACGGATCATTCACCAGCAGCAATATGGGCCCACCTAAAACCAATTCTGACAGATGTCAAAACAAAACATCCGGAAATTGATACTGTTCACGTTTTTTCAGATGGGCCTACTACCCAATATAGGCAAAAAAAGAACTTTTATTTATTTAAATTATATCTTGAAGATTTGAACTACAAAAAGGGAACTTGGAACTTTTCAGAGGCATATCACGGAAAGGGAGCAGCTGATGGAATCGGAGGAGTAATCAAGCGTCTTTTAGATGCTAAAGTGTCCCACGGAATTGATGTTTTGAACACCTCAGTAGCCTACTCTGTTCTCAAAGAAGACACAAATGTGAATCTTTACTGCATTAAAAAATCTGATATCAGTGAGATAAAAAGCAGAAATCAAACTGCATTCGAATCTTTAGTGCCAATTCCTGATACCATGAAAATTCACCAGATACAAGCCGAATCAGAAAACTGCTCAAATGAAGTAAGGTATCGAGTTTTGAGCTGCTTTTGTAATAGCTCAAGTTTGAGAGGATTTTGTGACTGTTTTGATACTAAAAAACACTTTCTGATAAAGCCACGTCCCAAAAAGCGGATTAGGCTAAGTTCCTCTTCCGATTCAGAAGGTTGCCAGCCTTTAGTATTAAAACGAAAAGATAATCTCACCTCTTTTATCGATACATCTACTGCTATTCAGAAATCGAAGTACAACATACCTTATTTCTTTAGCAATAAATCAAAAATCATTCCATCTGTATCTGGTGTTGATATTGGTAACTCTGATTCAGATGATTTAGAAATATTTAATATATCACGCGTTGTTAATAAAACTATACTGCCTGTGATTAATAAAGAAAATGATAACTGTAATAAAGCCGGTTTCAAAAAACGAAAAAAAAATGAAGCGCCTGTGACTATTTTATCAGACGTTCGCGTTAATTATTCAATCGATGATTTAAAGCAAATGATTAGTACAAAGAGGCATAACGTTCCTTCATATGATCTCAAAAAAGACTATCCTGAAATGTTTGAACAATCAGCTACTGCACAAAAAAAGGTAAAATATTTTTTTGATGATTCTAGTGAAAGTGAGTAGGTGTATTCTATTGTTGTAATAGATATTACATGTTTTATAGTTTATATTTTTTTTGGGTAATGTATATTGTTACTTATTTTTCTTTGGAGACCGCAATTATGCTTCGTATATACCAACTCTTGTTAAATCATACAATAATAAACAACAAAAACGTGTGAATAATGTAATAGGTATCAGGTATATGCATAAATAGTTATATAATATATAAGTTACTATATTTTAATTAAGTTTTTTTTTTAAATATTGGACAATATGATTGTTAAAGGATGTCGTCGAGAGATGTCTTATCTTTGTGCCCTTGACTATTATATTTTGAGAACGTAAGAGTTATTTATTAAATAAGTAAGTATAATAAAAAAAAATATTTGAAAAATTAAAAACACGACTGCCAAAAATGAACTAAAAAAGTAGAAAAACAAGTTGTATTACGGCATATATTCTCATTGCAGTAGGGAGCCAAATAGGATTATAAGGTGTTCTATGAAACGATGGAACCGGCCCCCGATTGCAATGAAACAACAACTACTTGTTTTTCTACTTTTTAGTTCGTTTTTGGCAGTTTTGTTTTTAATTTTGAAATTATTAATTTTTATTTCATTTTTAGTGACCAACTTGATTATATCAATAATATTTTTTTTTTGGATTATACTCATCACGAGCTTTAATTTGATATACATAAAGCTAAAATCAATGATAAAATACAGACTTCGAAAAAGCTTTACAATAGCGTTATTTGTCTGCCATATTGTTAATTTAAAAAACGATCTCCCCCATACATTAAAATCCGTTCAGGCGTTTAGAAATATTTGAATAAAAAACTCACATACATACATACATGATGAATGTTAAACACAATACACGCTTATTTTTTGAAAAGTTATGTAAAAAATATGTAAATTGAGTTAATTTTCTAATCGTCTGAGACTGAATCAATACCAAAGTGAGAATTTCTTTTTTCGTGTATTAAACAAATCATAAAAAAATACATGTGTTTTATTGTGCTTTTATGTGTTCGATCAATAAAGAAATAATTATCCGTTATTATGTGTATTGCGTAAAGACCCTAAGTTTTCATTTTTGTTACGTTTTTGTTACGAGTTTCATTTTTGTTATGGTTTCATTTTTGTTTCATTTTTGTCACGATGGTCATTTTAAATGATTTTCACCCTAAAATGAATTACCCGGCTCTGGATCATAGGAGCCTGGAAAAAACAAACAGTGGATATAATGTCTAAAGTTCATGACACATGGCTAAGATACGATTATATAAATGTTATTATATTTGTTTTAAGATAACTTGCGAAATATTTATTTTCGTGTCGGTTTACATCTTATGATACTTACGGTCAGTGGCACAGACGTCCATTTAGGTTTAATGACGCCTTTAAGCTCTAATGAATGTCAAATTGTATTGGTAATGTTGCTTTAAACTAATCACTTATTAATGGATGTTTGTCTTAGAGCTGAGATGGATGAGAGCGATATTTTATCTTAAGATATATTATAGCATCTTAACCATCTATAATAACTTAAGTGATACAGATATAAATAGAAAACATCTTTCATAGCGACAACAGAAATCAACAGACATCTTTGACAATTTCAACTGTCTAGCTATCACAACATGGGATACAGCTTGGTGACAGATTTAGTAATAGAGTCCCGTTTTTACAGTTTGGGTACATAATCCTAACAAGAAGCTTTTAGAAAAGGAAACTTACATTATATGCTCAAGCAATACTAATAGTACCATAAAAGCGATGATAGTCGTATGAACTCACCAGGAGCTGGTAAGCACATGGCGAAGCCGATCTGTAAAATAAAACAACAGACTATATGTAAAAGTATTCAGAACTTTATTATTATTATTATTATTATTTTAGCCCTTTTATTCGGATCTTATTGTAAATCTCTTTACATAACCAAACTTAGAATTAAAAAATATAACATGAAATTATCTTATTCTTATTAATTTAATATTTCTCGTTTCTTTATTTTCTGTAGATCCGTCTGCCAGTCGGCAAAGGCCTCTTCCAACCTTTTAAGATTCTGATCTTACACTGAACGGACGTATTTAATGTTGTAATTGATTTTTTTTTATTCATTTAAATAAGTTGTGTGGTCTCCTGGGGCTTTGCTCCTTCATGTTGTGATCTCTTCATCGTGATTCCGAAGTCCGATCTATCGACCGATAAATATTTTATCCAGTGTAGCTAAGCTGTTTGAGTCTCTGGTGTATGCACCTTTTTATCACCACTTGATGACGTTTGTGTCCGATAAGCAACATGGCTTTATCAGGAAAAGATCGACATTAAGCAACTTGTTGGAGTTTAAGAACTATCTTTGTCAAGTGTTTGCTTCTGAAGGTCAGGTTGATGCTATCTATCTTGATTTTAGTAGGCATTTGATAAAGTTCACTACTAAGACCCATTACAGCGTTGTTATGGGGGACTTTAACGCTAAAGTGGGAGTACAAAATTGCGGCGAATCGGTAGTAGGATCCCATGGATTTGGAAGCAAGAATGATAGGGGGCAAATGCTCGTTAACTTCCTCGAACGGGAGGGGCTCTTCCTTATGAACTCGTTCTTTAAGAAACAGCCCCAAAGGAAGTGGACGTGGCAAAGCCCCGACAATGTGACAAAAAATGAGATCGACTTCATTATAACGGACAAAAAGCACGTATTCAGAGATGTCTCCGTGATCAATAGGTTTAACACCGGCAGCGATCACCGACTTGTCCGAGGCTCTCTGAATATCAACTTCAAAGCTGAACGTGTCCGCTTGATGAAGGCCAGGCTCCGACCTACTCCTCTCCAAACCATGATGGAATCTGAAACGCTTCAGTCAAATCTTGAGAACCGATTCGCTGCCATGGAAACCACAATTGACGTTGACGAGAACCTTGAAAATGTGGTTCGAATACTCAGGGAAGAAGGTACGAAATTTTGTAGCATGCAGCGTAAGGGCGGGAAGTCTAAGCTCTCCGATAGAACTTTGGGGCTAATGAAGGAACGACGTGAAAACCCACCTGTCACTTCGTCAGGAAAACGTGCTCAAAACCAGGAGATCAGCAAACGCGTACGATATGACCTCCGGTGCTCCAACACTCACGCTATAGAAAGAGCGATCGAGCAAAACAGGGGGTCAAAAGTATTCGTACAATCTCTTGGAAGAAGCCACTTGACGAAGTTGACCACAGCAAGCGGGGAAGTCGTTGCTTCGAAGCCAGCGGTCCTCTCGGAGGTGGAAAATTTCTATGCCCGGTTATACGCTTCGCATGCATCTCGACCTGATCCCGGAAATGAGGATTCTAGAGCCACATTAACACGCCACTACACCGAAGATCTGCCAGAAGTCAGCATTGGCGAAATCGAGATCGCTCTGAGACAGCTTAAAAATGGAAAAGCCCCTGGAGAGGATGGCATTACAACTGAATTATTAAAAGCAGGAGGTAAACCGGTACTGAAGGAGCTCCAAAAGCTTTTTAATGCTGTCCTCTTCGAAGGGAGAACTCCGCAGGCGTGGAGTAGGAGTGTTGTCGTCCTGTTCTTCAAAAAGGGAGACAAAACCCTGCTGAAGAACTATCGACCCATTTCCCTTCTAAGCCACGTCTATAAGCTGTTTTCTAGAGTAGTCACGAACCGTCTTGCGCAAAGACTTGACGAATTCCAACCACCGGAGCAGGCTGGGTTTCGGAGTGGATACGGCACCATAGACCACATCCACACAGTGCGGCAGATTATACAGAAGACTGAAGAGTATAATCAGCCCCTGTGTCTAGCATTTGTGGACTATGAGAAGGCCTTTGACTCGATTGAGATCTGGTCCGTTCTGGAGTCCCTGCAGCGATGCCAAGTCGATTGGCGATACATCCAAGTGATAAGATGTATTTATGAGGCCGCCACCATGACCGTCCAAGTACAGAATCAGCAAACAAGTCCTATACCGTTGCATCGAGGAGTGAGACAAGGAGACGTTATGTCTCCGAAATTGTTTACTAATGCAATGGAGGATATGTTTAAGACGCTGAACTGGAAAGGACGTGGCATCAACATCAATGGCGAGTACATCTCTCACTTGAGATTTGCTGACGACATCGTCATCATGGCAGAAAATCTGCAGGACCTACAACAGATGCTGAATGACCTGGCTGACTCTTCTATGCGCATCGGCCTACGGATGAACTTGGATAAAACCAAGGTCATGTTCAACGAACACGTACTACCGGAACCGATTGCAGTATGCGGTGCCGTTCTCGGAATTGTTCCAAAATATGTATACCTCGGGCAAACATTGCAGTTAGGTAGAAACAACTTCGAGAGCGAGGTAAATGGAAGAGTTCGGCTAGGTTGGGCAGCGTTTGGGAAACTACGTCAGGTCTTTACATCGTCGATCCCGCAGTGCCTAAAGACAAAAGTCTTTAATCAGTGCGTCCTACCCGTTATGACATACGGAGCCGAAACGTGGACACTGACGGCACGGCGCGCTATGGAAAGGGCTATGCTCGGCGTTTCTCTGCGGGATCGAATCAAAAATGAGGTGATCCGGCAGAGAACCAAGGTTATCGACATAGCCCACCGGATTAGCAAGCTGAAGTGGCAGTGGGCTGGCCATATTAGCCGCAGAACCGATAACCGTTGGGGTAAACGAGTTCTTGAGTGGAGACCGCGTCTCGGCAAACGTAGTGTAGGACGTCCTCAGGCGCGGTGGAGCGATGATTTGCGCAAGATGGCTGGCAGGAGCTGGATGCGAACAGCCGAAAATCGAAATAGATGGCGTGCAATTGGGGAGGCCTATGTCCAGCAGTGGACGAATATGGGCTGATGATGATGATGATGATGATGATTTGATAAAGTTGATCATCGCTTACTTAGTCTCAAACTCGAACACTACGGCATTCATGGGTCCCTGCTTAGATGGATTATCTCATATTTAAATAATAGAACTCAACTGGTTACCGTGAAGGGTTATTCTTCTGCACCTGTCGCTGTCTCCTCGG